AGGTCCCCCCCATTCTCATTATGGCCCCCACCCGCCGCCCAGGGGTGGGGGCCGGGCCGGGGCAGTAGGTCCCCCCCCCTAATTCTCACTATGGCCCCCACCCGCCGCCCAGGGGTGGGGGCCGGGAGGGGGCAGTAGGTCCCCCCCCCATTCTCATTATGGCCCCCACCCGCCGCCCAGGGGTGGGGGGGAGTACTGCCCCCCCTCATTCTCACTATGGCCCCCACCCGCCGCCCAGGGGTGGGGGCGGGGGGGGTACTGCCCCCCCCTCATTCTCACTATGGCCCCCACCCGCCGCCCAGGGGTGGGGGGAGTACTGCCCCCCCCTCATTCTCACTGTTTAGGGGTGGGGCCAATAGTTGTTTTTTTGTTTGTTTTTTTTTACAGTGAGCAGCCACAGGCTGCTCACTGTTTAGTGGACATGCCCCTACTCGCGGTATAGCGAGTAGGGGCATTTGGGAGATTTTAATCTCCCTTGTGCTATTATGGGGGTCATATTGACCCCCATAGAGTGAGAGGGGGACCTGGGGGGGCTTATGAAGTGGTGGGGAGCACTGCTCCCTGCCGCTTCTATAGTTACATATTACAAGGAGGGAGCTGCATGCCGGTAGCTCCCTCCTTGTAATAACCTGCACGAACAAACTAACACTGATACATTGTGTTTGTTTGTTCGGCTGATCTTTCTATTCACTCATTCGTCTGTCTGATGGATGAATGAATAGATGAAATTCCCGTTCGCATGTCCAGGTGTTTCACTGGGCATGTGCGGGAATCTCAGTGTCTGCCTAGTGTGGGCTGATGACGTGTCCCACAGGGACTTCACCTACCCACACAAAGATGGCGGCGCCCTGAATATAGATCGGGGCAGAAAATAAAGATTTAAAAATAGGTAATGTGGGGGCTTAGGGGCATTTGGGGGTGACTAGTGGGTCAATTGGATGTAGTGGAGGCGGGAGGGGGGTTAAAAAAAAAAAACAGAATTCGGCATGACAGTGCCGCTTTAATAAAAGTGGTCTGGGTGCCAGGTCCCTCTATGGTTAACCCTGCCTGCTGTAAACATAACAGTTTCACAGAAACTGCTATGTTTACATATGGGTTAATCCAACCTCTAGTGGCTGTCTCATTGACATCCGCTAGAGGCGCTTCTTACTGTGATTTTCACAGTTAGAAGACGCCAGCGTCCATTGAAAGGTAAGTTCTATCCTAAGTGACTCGGTCCAACTTAGGCGTTCTCTGGTCTCCGTTGTTGGCTGAATTCAGGGAAGAACGATGGAGCAAAATGAAACACGCACACAGTTTGCTTTTCCAAAGATCTTCAAATGTATTATAAAAAGGATGGCATATTTATACAGTATTGAGTATTGAGAATGCTTTCCTATGGACTGACTGAATGCGCGCCTGGCTCTTGCCGCGCCTTTGCATTCAGCCGATGACGTTGGAAGGAGGAGGAGAATCCCCAGCGCC